CCCCACCCGTGGCCAACGTGGCCCGGAGCGCCGTCTTGTCCCGCTGCCGGAGTGTTGTCATTTGGGAAATGCCTTGCTTTGCTCCTGGAGGGAGCAGATCGCAGTCTTGAAAACTGTCGGGTCTCGTGACTGTCGCGTGCTGAGCATGAGCTCCCACCAAGCCGCAAGTGGAGGGGTCTCTTGTGTCCGTGCAGGTGGAGTGCAGCGACAGAGACCTGCATTCTGGCGTGTACGGAGGCTCGGTGCACGAGGCCATGACAGATCTCATCTTGCTGATGGGTGAGCACGCTTCCCGCCACTCCCTGCTGACGTGGGAGAGAAGTTGGAGGGGCCTCGTTTCCAGGCTGTCCCCAGCATTTGGTGCTTGTCACCACCCTTTATGGTCCACTTTCCTCTCTTTCCCTCTTGCTCCCTCCCGCTGCTCCCTGTTCCTTTAAAAGATGGACACGCTTCATTTCTGCCCCTGTCTCCCTTGACCCCCTCGAGTGTTGCCTGCCTGGCCCCTGAGACCCGACTGGGGCAGACCCTGGCTTCGCCAGGCCCTGTGGGAGCCGTCCCTTAGGATCACTTGACCATCCTTCCGCTGGACACGGCTGTGTTTCCCGCCCCTCGGAGGGCACCCCCTCAGCGTGTTTTATATCTTAGCGGCCCAGCGAGGGCTCCTGTGCGCTCAGCTCTGTGGGAGCGGGGCCCAGCCCAGTTTGAGGCTGGATGTGGCTTTGCCTCACCCATGATTCAGTTAAGTTCTGTCTCCTTCCCTGTCAGCGTCTCCTTCCTGAGACTAGAGTCTACTCTGTTCTACTTGTCTTCCTCCTCCTTTTTTATATAAATTTTTTTTTAAGTTTTTAAATTTATTTGGAGAGGGAGAGACAGAGCGCGAGCAGGGGAGGGGTGGAGGGAGAAGGGGAGAGAGGGAGAATCCTAAACAGGTTCTGAGCTGTCAGCGCAGAGCCTAACGTGGGGCTCGACCTCACAAACCATGAGATCAGACCTGAGCTGAAGCCCAGAGTCGGACGTTCAACCGCCTGAGCCACCCAGGCGCCCCTGCTTGTCTTCCTCCTTAGCTTGGGAGCAGCTAGTTTCTTGTGGAACATGTATTAAAAAAGAACTGTTGGCTAGCGTAGTGGCTTTTACAGGGAGCCTGCTGGAGGCAGTCTGCTCCGTGTGTATCCTGGTCTGTGACTGTGGACGCGTCACCTGCCCTTCGGCGTCTCGGTGTCCTTGCGTTAAAATGGGAAGGTGATGCTGCTCACCTCACTGCGTTGTTGAGCTATTTAAACTATCGATGATCACACGTGCCTAGATGGTGCTTGAGCGCTCCCTCATACGTGCCCGGAAGACGGTCCTCCTCGGCCCGTGGCTGGGCGGACAGGCTCTCGCGGCGAGCACCGCCCTGTGGGAGCTGCCTGCCTGCCCGCCGAACGCTCCTCCTCTGTGTGCCCTTCCAGGCTCTCTGATGGACAAGAAGGGAAAGATCCTCATCCCAGGCATCAGTGAGGCGGTGGCCCCCGTGACCGAGGAGGAGCTGGCACTCTACGACAAGATAGACTTTGACCTGGACGAGTACACCAGGGACGTGGGGGCAGAGACTCTGCTGCACGGGTGCAAGGTGCTGCCCCCCACCCCCCGCCGCCTCAGCCCATCCGTCCGCAAGGCCTCCCGACATGCCCTGCCCAGGGGACCCCGGTGGGAAGGAGCCCAAGGTGCTGGCAAAGACCTGGACAGGTCCTTGTGTCCTGGAACCCTCGGTTGGTGCAGATGCTGGAAAGCAGCACATTTTCGGGCTTGGAATTAGGAGGTTTTTAAAAAAGTCACACGATGGCTTTCGACGACTTAGGAGCTAGGGAATGTGCACGGAGAACACATAGTGGCAGGGCTTTTGCCTTATTTGCATTTGTTGGATAATTTTTACCTCTGGGCCCAGGGATGACCCAAGGCATACCTGATAGCCGGGTGCCATGGTGGAAACCGTTTGCACAGAATGGTCACTTAACTCTTAGGAGAAAACCGTGTTACCGTATTTCTTCTTCTTAGTCAGGGTACGTCTGGTTTAGCCAACGTGAGTTGGACT